GGTAACATCAATGACCAAATATGAATTGGAAAAACTCACCGCGATGCTACACCCAGAGGTTCCAATATGGCTAAGAGTGGAGATCAAATATGGTATTGAGTGATGGACCAACCAGTGCTTGGCACAAGCCAACTGGGAATTTCAGGAACGGGGAAAGTTAAGGGTGGGCAGCTAACAAGCGTAGTCAAAATACAAGCTGAAGTTGTTAACCAGAGAATAAAGGAATGCAAGACTGTGGATATTAAGTAACTAATCGCTGTACTAGAGCCTTGGGCAAGTGTTTTGCTCAGACAACAAGGGTTGGTCGAAGAACAGGCTGGGCAAGGGCTGGTTGTGTCTATATATATATCAATCGGCAGGTTGGATCCAGGGAGCCTATACCTCTCGGTCCTGTGAAGCAACAAGGTAGGAAAAGACCGCATGCTGATAGAAATACAAATAGCACACCAGCTTTCCTGTTGATCTCTTAGAGATCATTAGGGGAGTATTAATTTGTTGCCTCACGTTCTTTGCTTTTTTAATTTTTCTCATTATTTCCATGGAATGAACAATAGTAGAAGTGTAAGGAGCAGCACACACACCTACAATAGGACTATAAAGGTAGCACAACCCTGCAGGAGCCGCTGATAATTTGGGCCTATTTCCCCCACTCATAGCATACACAGCCAGGCATTTTCAGTATTCTTCTTTTTGCTCAAAGATTAGTCTAGGGGGTTTCTTTGTGTTTTGTTTTATTTATTCGAACAGTAACTTGGATACTGATGGGGAGCCTGGGATACCCTGGAATTTTGAAAACTGTACAACTTGAGGACTGCTTGGCTTCTGGCTGCTCTATACAAAAATGCAGGCTGCACAATCCTCTGACTGCACTGTATTCTCTTGGTTTTCTTGTACAACTCCTGGCTGCACTGCATTTGCTTGGGAGGTCTAACCACCCCACAGTCACTTCTCCTCTTCATATCAGGAACAATTACTCAGTCAGTCTGAGAATGAATGGGCGTCTTACCACCAACTCTGTTCTGGCTCTGCTCAGTCTCTGGACAAAGTTCTCTTTGGTAGGGCCCCCAGCTACACCTAGCCTGAACCTTTAATTCTTTGAAGACTCCTCTGCCCCAAGGCCACAGCCCCTGTACAGGGATATTTTCCTTAAGGACTGGACACATGTTGCTAAGTCCTCAGCCTACTTATGGACTCTCTCTATACCTTCTGGGCTCACCTCCCCAGAGAATGGCTAAAGTCCCATAAATATTCAGGCTGTTGTTTGAAGCACATTGGTTTTGGAATTTTCTCATTATACTCCTTACCAAAAGAATAAATCACACTCCTCAAACAGCAGATTTTGTTCAGTTTTTCTCTTTTTTTTTCATAGCAAAAACACATTTCTGTATGTCATGTTTTTTCAGTTTTTTTTCATCATTTTTACTTTTTTACATATTTCTATCAACTGCCCACTTAGGGATAGTAAATATAAAAATGTATACATGGCCTTCTATGCACTAAGTTAAAAATCCATACTGTTAAGGGGTTATTTACTAAAAACTGGAGAGTGCAAAATCTGGCACAGTGATTCTTAGAAACCAATCAGCTTCGAGGTTTTATTGCAAAAGTTTCATTGAGCAGGCTGAAGTTAGACGCTGATTGGCTACCATGTACAGCTGCACCAGATTATGAATGCTGCAGTTTCAGTAAATTTGCCCTATTGCTGCACTATGTTACTAGTACCCGGGTAGCGCCCCTCTAGTTAGCCAGGGGGAGCTAGCTGGGGTTTTAGTTAGAGGCTGGATAGCGGCCTGGGTATGAGTCAGCCTGGGTATGAGTCAGCCAGGTCACTTTTGGTCAGGCCTGAGGGCTCTGCAGGTCAGTTCCCTGATTACCTCCCCCTGCTCTAAAAGCTTGAAAGGTTTCTAGAAGGCAGTGGGTGGAGGTGAAGAGGGGCTGATCTGCATACTTAAGGGATCTTGACCAATCCCCAAGCAGGAAGCTTGGAATGGGTTCAGGACAGCCCTTAAATATGAGAGAGCCTGATCAGCAGCAGGAGAGTGTTGGGTGTAAGATGGAATGAGAAGGCTGGAGTGTGGAGCCTGGGAGGGGACCCAGGGAGGGGCCTACCTACAGGCAGCCACTGAATAGGAGGACCCCTCTGCCTGAGAGAGGATAGCCTGGGAAGCAGGGAAGGAGGTAGCCCAGCATAAGGCCTGAAGGTAGTCACCAACCCATTAGCTTACAGGATAGACAGAGTCAGTAATCCTACACCCCCTGGGCCAGATAAGGGGAGAGGTTTATCAAATGGAGAACCCAACTATCTCTTCAACTGGGATTGTTTCATTAAAATGGCATGTTCTGGGTCCCCTGCCAAGGGATTCCCTCAAGCAGCTGGGTGAAGAGGAGATTTCTTCTGGGGTCTGAGTTGGTGCACCTGGAGGGCTGGAGAGCTCTTCAAAAGAAGAAACTTTTTTTTGTCTATAGACTTGTACATAGTAGCTAAGGAGTTTGTCCTCAGTTACAGTTTCCTTGGGAATCCCATATACCCCTAAACCTCATCCAAGTTCAAAACCCCTTAATAAAACATAAAACCAAGCTCAAGGACTGTTTACTAACTCCAGTGTGCAAGTATGAAGAAAATGTGTGTTGCTTGGCTGTGCAGAACTATAGGGGGGCCCAAAACTCAGCGACTCCTAAAGGGGGTAGTGCTACACCTGAATGCTCAGTTGTAGGTTCACTGTTGATCAGCATGGAATTCAAGGGTGTTACTGCTGACTGAATACAGAATAGCTTTTGTGTGTGTGGGATCTATTGTAAATACCAGACAGGGTTCTATGTGTGTATGGTTGCTTAGTAGACCAGTCAATTGACAATGTGTAGGTGGTGGCAAGCTACCCTAAATCATGTGTCTGTGAGCAATAGTAAAAGTGATAATGTAGATTGGTGACCTTTTACTTACCTTCCTGTATGGTGGGTGCAAACTACTATATTTCCATTGCCCACAATCCCCTGGGCTCCCGTCATCCCCTGTTCTCCTGGACACACCAAGGAGAAATAATGTACGTTCCAGCTCTTCCACCCTACCTATCCTATAATCACATCAATGATTGGGCATGTGAGCTGTAACCAGGTGTTGGATCTTTCATTGCTATGTGAAACATGCAGGCTGCTGGAAGACAGCACAAGGGCATACAGATTCTACATAAGCCCCTGTCAATGTGGTGACGGTTAGTCTGCCAGCTGATTCTGGAGTACTGTCCTTCCAATGGGGTGCCATTGCCTTCAGCCACCTCAATGAGGCCAAAAACCTATCCAGCCACGCTCTTGTGGAGCCTGCCTGGAGATACCTGCAACCAGCTACCTTATGAAATAGGTGTTCTACCACTTTCCCTATAAAGAAACTACATTTGTATTGCATCATTTGTTTTTCAAGTGAATTTCCCTGTTTTAGGGGAAACATCTTAGTTACTGTAATTGGTTCCATAGACTTTTATGCTCTGTTCTATACTAAAGCGTGGGGTCTTGTGAGCCACTATGGTGTATGCTAAGTGATAATAAATATTATAAATAATAAAAAAAATTGTAGTAAAATCCATACAATAGTGAACATAAAAAAAAAATAAAAACTGTGAAAAATAATGGTTCGCTTACACTCTACACATACTCATACCATTGTGTCATAGAGAATACAATAAAATCAGAAATCCACTACCAATTGCAAAATTGTGAATAAATGAATATTAAATAAATAATAGTCCAGCACCAAAAGAATACATATCAATATCTCTGCAATTATATTACTGCTGCATACATGTCCTTATTAAGTCCGTGACCTTGACACTTCTTCAGCCATTGAAGTTAGGATTTTTGACTTGTGTAACTGTTCCTGGGCAGGGCTCATTAAATAGTGAAGTGATAATGGCAAACTAGAAGGCATAGCCAATTCCCAAATTTTTGTGTTCAGAAATACACTGTTTTACAGTTGCAAGAAAAAGTATGTAAACCCCTTGGGATTACGTGGAGTTTTGCATGAATTGGGCATAAAAAAGCACACCAACATCAAAACCTCATCCCCACTGTAAAACATGGCGGAGGGAGCATCATGGTTTGGGGCTGCTTTGCTGCCTCAGGGCCTGGACGTATTGTTGTCATTAATGGGAAAATGAATTCCAGAGTTTATCAAGACATTTTGCAGGAAAACGTACAACCATCTGTCTGCCAACTGAAGCTCCGCAGAGGATGGGTGATGCAACAGGACAATGACCCAAAGCATACAAGTAATTCAACAAAACAATGGCTGCAACAGCACAGAATACGCCTTCTGGAGTGGCCCAGTCAGAGTCCTGACCTCAACCCGATTGAAATGCTGTGGCATGACCTTAAGAGAGCGATTCACACCAGACATCCCAAGAATATTGCTACACTGAAACAGTTTTGTGAGGAGGAGTGGTCCAAAATTACGCCAGATCGTTGTGCAGGTCTGATCTGCAACTAGAGGAAACGTTTGGTTGAGGTTATTGCTGCCAAAGGAGGGTCAACCAGTTATTAAGTCCAAAGGTTCACATACTTTTTCCTCCCTGCACTGTGAATGTTTACATGTTATGTGCAATTAAACCATGGCAACATCTAATGTTTGTGTAGTATTATGTTCAGCAGACTGTGTTCTTCTATTGTTGTGACTTAGATGACGTTCAGAGCACATTTTATGCCCAATTCATGCAAAACTCCACGTAATCTCAAGGGGTTCACATACTTTTTCTTGCAACTGTAGGTGTGACGTTAAATATACTTGTTGTTATCCTACAAAGTTCTCATGATTATTTTTGTAAAAAGTACCCTTAATAACTTATATACTTCTGTCTGGTCTTCTTTCAGCTCAGCCATTGTACTCTACAGCCATGTGGAAAAAAATGAGAAAATTAGTTTTTTACCTGATGATAGCAACTTTGGCATTTATTGGTAGGACTACTATTAGACAACAAAGCTTCTCCATCATGGATTTCCTCATTTCAAATATAATGTCAAGTCCTATTAGTGCAGACACCATTCTAATAAAAGGAAATGGAATCCTATTTGTGGAGACCACGGACAGAATGGATCCACCATCCCTGGTACTGTGTGCTATTGAATCAGCCGCACGAGTCTACCCTGACCGACCGGTGGCCTTCTTTATGAAAGGATTGGAGGATATTACCACAGAAGAAGATGAGAAGAGAGCAAGACAACAATTTCCAACCTTGTCATCTTTTAGCAATGTTTACCTCTTCCCTCTTAGAATGGATCAATTATTTCAAAACACGCCTCTTAAGCCGTGGTTTGACAAGGTACAGTACAGACTAAGTGGGGTACCTTTTTGGAAAGTTGTTACAGAAATTAAAATTGGAAAGCTGAATAATATTACTCTGCCTTAACCACTTGCCGACCAGCCACTGTAGAAATACGGCGGAAGGTCAGCACGGCTGGGCAAAACCACGTTTTAAAACGTGCTTTTGCAAAACAGGTAGGGGGCGCGCGTGAGGCGCACCACCGCCCTACCTGCGCCGCTGATCGGGGCAGCGTGTGTCAGTTGCCGGGTCACGGCCAATCATTACCTACCATGTCCAGGCGATTAGGGGCAATCACTGACAGAGAGGACGGCTGCAGTGTTTACACTGCAGCTGTGCTTTCTGTCAGTTCCCTGTCAGCTGCTGACATGCTGATCCAGAGAGAAGAGTTTATCTCTCTGGATCAGCGTGTTCCCATGCAGTACACACCCCTGCCCCCTAGTAAAACACTCCCCTCACACAGTTAACCCTTTCAGTAAATAAAAATGTTAACCCCTTCCTCCCCAGTGCCTTTAGTACAGTGTCAGTGTTTTTTTATTTTGCACTGATCACTGTATTGGTGTCACTGGGGATGTCAGTGACCCCAAGTCAGTTCCCCCCCAGTGTCAGAATGTCCACCGCAGTCCCGCAGACTTGCCATAAGTCACTGATCGCCGCCATAAGTCACTGATCGCCGCTATTATTGGTATAAAAAAAAAAATTAAAAATCCCAGTATCTTTCCCGCCATTTGTAAACGCTATAACTTTCACGTAAACCAATTAATTTACACGTATTGGGTTTTTTTTTTTTAGCAAAGACATGTCACAGAATACATTTTGGCAGAAATTTATGACTAAATTTGATTTTTAAATTTTTTTTTCTGGACATGTTTTATAGCAAAAAGTCCAAAATATTGGTTTTTTTTTCAAAATTGTCAGCCTTTTTTTTTATAGCGCAAAAAATTAAAAACGCACAGGCAATCAAATACCACCAAAAGAAAGCTCAATTTATGGGAAAAAAAAGGATGTAAATTTCATTTATGTACCGTATTGCATGACCGCGCAATTTCCGTTAAACTAGCGCAGCGCTGTATAGCAGAAAAATGGCATAAATTGCAGTATCTAAAACATAGTTTGTAGACGCTATAACTTCCACACAAAGCAATCAATATACAGTCAGGTCCATAAATATTGGGACATCGACACAATTCTAACATTTTTGGCTCTATACACCACCACAATGGATTTGAAATGAAATGAACAAGATGTGCTTTAACTGCAGACTGTCAGCTTTAATTTGAGGGTATTTACATCCAAATCAAGTGAACGGTGTAGGAATTACAACAGTTTGCATATGTGCCTCCCACTTGTTAAAAAGGACCATAATGGGACAATTGGCTTCTCAGCTGTTCCATGGCCAGGTGTGTGTTATTCCCTCATTATCCCAATTACAATGAGCAGATAAAAGGACCAGAGCCAAAGATGTTAGAATTGTGTCGATGTCCCAATATTTATGGACCTGACTATACACTTATTGGGATTTTTCTTACCAAAAACATGAAGCAGAATACATTTTGGCCTAAATTTATAACCAACTTTGAGTTTACTATATATTTTTTATAGCTGAAAGTAAAAGAAAACTTTTTTTTCTTCAAAATTTTTGGTCTTTTTTTGTTTATAGCGTGAATAAAAAGCGCACGGGTGATCAAAACTCTATTTGTGTGAAAAAAAGGCCGTAAATTTCATTTGGGTGCAGCATTGCATGACCGCGCAATTATCAGTTGAATTAGTGCAACACCGAGTAGCAAAAAGAGGCCTGGTCAACCCAGGACCAAGGGACGTATTTGTCCCATATTTTTAATTGACTGTATCATCTGATTAAGAACTTAAAATACTTTTTTTTTTGGTTTGAGTCAAAATATTAGTTCTTATCAACAAATGGATCTAGCTTTTTGCCAGTTATTTCATGAAATGGCTTATTTACAGCAACTGAAGTGTACGTTAAAGGTCATTAAAATGCAAAGTCAGCACCTGTTGCTTCCATAACAACCATTTACAGATACGAAGGCATAACAAATAGTAGCAGTAGATATACCTCTACTATATAGGATGGTTGGTCCTACCAAATGGGCTAAAAGTCTAGTGTTCAGATCAGTGGCGGACTGACAACTCATGGGGCCCCCGGGCAATAGGGGATCATGAGGCCCCTGTGTCCTTGCCCAAACTCAAAAAAGCCTATGAAAAAGGTACCAGGGGCATCTCATGGGGCCCTCTACTGACCCCTGGCCCTCGGGCAGCGCCCGAGTTTCCAAATTGTCAGTCCTCCCCTGGTTCAGATGAATGCACAAGCAGCTAAAGTTTGGTCCAAGCTTGTGTTCAGAGAAGAAACATTTCCATATGTAGCAGTCAAATCTCTTTTCCTTGGGGTGCAAAGAGTTAAAGTGAACAGCAAAGCGTACAATATGGACCATGTATGTATTTATGAAAGGTGACCACATCAACCCTTAACCATTTCAATACCGGGCAATTTTACACCTCCCTGCCCAGGCCAGTTTTCAGGTTTTAGCGCTCTCACACTTTGAATGACAATTGCGCGGTCATACAACATTGTACCCAAACTAAAATTTTATCATTTTTTTTCACACAACTAGAGCTTTCTTTTGGTGGTATTTAATCACCGCTGGGGTTTTTATTTTTTGCTAAATTAACAAAAAAGACCAAACATTTTGAAAAAAAAAAAACCACGTTTTTCTTTGTTTCTGTTATAAAAGTTTACAAATAAATAATTTTTCTTCATAAATTTAGGCCGAGATGTATTCTACTACATGTCTTTGGTGAAAATAACCCAAATTAGGATGTATTTTTTAGTTTGTAGGAAAGTTATAGAGTTCACAAACTATGGTATAGATCTGAAAATTGATCGATCCTGAAGTACTGACAGCCAATCTAATTTCTTGAGGTCCAAGAATGTCAGAACAGTACAGATATCCCCCAAATGACCCCTTTTTGCAGAGTAGACAGTCCGACGTACTTCATAAGAGGCATGGCGAGTTTTTTGAAGTTGTATTTTTTTTTGTCATAATTTTTCGGAAAATGAAAAAATGAAAAAAATTATTTTCACTATTTTTTTTTTACATACTGTCACCAGTGCAGTACAGCGGCATCATATAACTGGCATGGCGGTGAACAGGGACATTGACTGGTGACAGTATGAAAAAAAAAAAATATATATTTTCTTATTTTTTTTAATTTTTTTATTATTTTTAATTTTTTATTACATTTTTTTCTTGTTCAAACATTTTTATTAACAAAAGAGAAAACTTTAACAACACAATCAAGGAGACATTGTTGATATACAGTGGACATTGAAGAGGCAGTAGGACATTGAAGAATAATGAATAAGGATCACATTACAGATGTCTATACAATTCAAGCAAAAGCAGGAACATAAGAGTCGGCAATAGATGACATTATCGTCCCAGCCAATCCAAGTAACGTCTCCTAATTGCATTTAAGAAGTAGGGGGAAGTTTGGAGGAGGATCAGACGGGGAAGGAAGGAAGGGTATGGGAAAAAAAAGAACAATAACGATGACTCCATGAACAATCAACTAGTTTACAGCAGACTCCACGAGTTGCCCACGAAGGACTATTGACAGTATCCTGGGTGCACAGTATAGAAATCAAGGGAGAAGGAGTGATTCATCAAAGTTAGGCGGGAGGAAGCGCTCTACCATATGTGCAAAAATTTAGGGATCGTGTCAAGAATTGTGGCTTCCACCTTTGCATGTATCATGGCTTGTGTTATTCTGGTTTTGACGGCAGCAACACTTAGGGTGGGGGATTTCCACGATTTCGCTATAACCTGTTTAGCCGCTGTTGTAACTTGCATAAGGAGCTTGAATTGCGAGTTGGAGATGCCAGGGGGGCACTGATTGAGTAGGGCTGTTGTTGGATCAGATCTTAGAGTGATAGCGCTAAGTGTAGATAGCATGGTGAAAATTTCATCCCAAAAGACCCGGGCCACTGGGCAATCCCACCACATATGGTAGTGTGTCCCTAGGTCTGTACAGCCTCTAAAACAGTTGGGCGAGTAATTAGGGGTAAATTTTGCGATTCTCGCTGGGACCAAGTACCAGCGGGTTAAAACTTTGTAATTCATTTCCAATGCTACAATGTTCTGCGAAGATGATTTTGTGTTAGCCCAAATGTGATCCCAGTCAGATGGGTCGAGTTTCTTGCCCAAATCCACTTCCCACTTATGGGTATACAGAGGGGGGGACGTGGTAATCGAAGTAGTGAGGAGTGAATATAAGCAAGAAATAAGCCCACGTCTATGGGGGTCTTTGTAGCACGCTCGTTCGAAGAAAGACATAGCATCTGGTCGATTTGTTGTTATAGCGTAGGGAGCATAAAAGTGTTGTAGCTGTAAGTATCGGAATATCTCGGAAGCTGGGAGGCCATGTGTTTCCCGCAGCGAGGCAAAGGATTTAAACTTATTCCTCTGCAGGAAATGATGCGTGTGGAGCAAATTAGAAGAGGACCAGGCTTTGAATAAAAGGGGCGTCTGCCAGGCCGGGGGAAAAGCTGGGTTTCGTAAAAACGAGAGCAGAGGATTATATAGCGATTGGAGGGGATATCGGGTTTTCAGTTTATCCCATAGGGATAAAAAGTGAGAAGTAATGGGGTTGGTTATAGAACGGCGGTCTATAGGCCTCAACCAGAGCAAGTTAGCTGTAGATAAGGGGTCACATTCTATCGATTCAAGTGCAACCCATTGAGGGATTTCAAAGGTTGCATGGTACTTAGGTAATTGGGCTAAATGCGCTGCTTGATTGTATTTGCTGATGTCAGGTAGGCCTAGACCACCTTTGAGCTTAGGAGAGTATAGCGTGGAGTGAGGTATACGAGGACGAGTATTACCCCATACATACAAAAAAATGCGACGCTGTAGTGTGCGGAGGTAGTGAGGGGGGACTGGGACTGGAAGGACTCTAAATAGATATAGAATTTTTGGGAGGATTGACATCTTGATAATTGCTATTCTGCCTAGCCATGCGAGGGGTAAGGAAGACCATTTGGTCAAAAGGGCCGAAAGATGGTTTAGCATCGGAAGATAGTTAGCTGCGTAAAGGTCTGATAACTTAGGGGTCAGTTTAATACCCAAGAAAGGGATATGACAGAGCGACCAAGGGAATGGTAGAATCTGCTTTAGGTGCGTCAACTCTAAAGGGGGGAGAGAGATGTTGAGTGCTGTTGATTTATTAGGGTTTATTAGCAAGACAGATCGCGCCGCTGCACGGCTCTGCAACCGCGCGAACTGCGCATGTGCGGGAGAACGCCAAATGGCGTGCACCCGGAAAGCTGAATCATTTTTGCGTCTGCCAAACGGCTATAGGCCGGGCGGCTAATGGTTAATAACATTTTCTCAGGGGAAAATGTGTTCAGTTCAATCTAATCTTCTCTTATAGTTAGGATCCTCCATACCTCGTTAATTTAGTTGCCATTCTCACGCTCATCTCCTGTTCTACAAAATGTTTTTTGTGCCAAAAACTGAACTGCCTATTCAAGGTGAGGTCTTTCTAATGCATATTCCTCTGTCTATCTCTCTCTCCAGAGTCTTGGGTTTTCATTGATGCCACAGCTAGCATTAAAGAATTTAACTATCAATGTATTTTAAATGTGAAGGGATATGCTTATGTATTGTTTTTGAATTACCAGGTCAACCCTGAAGAAGAAACCTACTGGACCCATGGTAGTTCAAATGCCTGTAGGTATGCTCTGATGTGGAAATACGGTGGAATTTGCATGGATGCTGATGTCATCTCACTTCGTCCTATACCCCAGGATCATTTTCTAGCAGCCCAAGATTTCAAACTTACTAGCAGTAGTGTTTATGGCCTCTCCTCATATCACTATATAGCATGGCAATTTATGGAGAACTTTGTTAAGAACTACAATGGAACAGTACAGGGACACCAAGGACCGGGGGTTTTCACACGCGTCATGAAGAATTTGTATGGCATGCCAATATTTAACTCTACGGATGATGTCAAGTGTGAAAATATTAGTTATTTTCATCCTCAACGTTTCCACCCTATCCCATATGATTTGTGGGAAAAGTACTTTGAAGTTTGGAAGAATTTGCCAACCTTTAATAACTCCTATGCCTTACATCTATGGAATTACATGAATAAAAATGATATATCTATGGTACCTGGAAGCAAACATTGTTGGAACACCTCTTCCAAAGATACTGCCCTACCATCTATGGATATATCTTGAGAAATGAGACAACTCACTTGTGACAAGGTTTGTTGAACATTACAAAAACAGATCATGTGTCTAACTTAAAGAGGACAGATGGGAACATTTAAAGCACCTCAAGGATAGCATGAAAATGTTGCATTTAAGACAGCCCAAAAAATCCTTCACAACTGGTATTACACACCAACAAAACTCTCCCATCTCTTTCCATCCGACTCTCCAGCTTGCTGGAGAAATTGTGGCCATAGAGGAACAACAGTACACGTTTGGTGGACTTGCCCTCTTTTAATTTCCTTTGGATTGATGTACAGTCCCTAACTAGAAGAATAACAGGTATATCCCATGATTTTACACCCCAACTGGTGCATGTGAGTGCATGTGCATGTGATCAGCACAGGGCCAATCATCACGGGTCAAACAGAGGTCAGGGGTTTGCATTCTCCTAGAGCAGAAAGAAAACTCCTACAAGCTTTAGCTAGTGCTCTGCTGGACACTGATAGAAGCCACAAGACTGCTCTAACTGCTGATGAGAAAAGGTATTTAGCAGTTTATATTTAGGAAACTATTTGCATTTCCATGTTCTGTGTACTGTGGGAGACCAGATATAGTGGATGCAGGGTCCAGGGTTTAGTGACACTTTAACCACTAGGCTACAGGGCACTTATACCCCCTTCCTGCCCAGGCCAATTTCCAGCTTTCAGCGCTGCCACACTTTGAATGATAATTGTGCGGTCATGCAACATTGCAGGGGAAATTTGTATCATTTTTTTGTGACAGATAGAGCTTTATTTTGGTGGTATTTAATTACCTCTGGGATTTTTATTTTTTCTTAAACAAACCACAAACCACTGAAAATTTTGAAAAAAAAAAGTTTTTTCTTAGTTTTTGTTATACAATTTTGTAAATAAGTGATTTTTCTCCTTCACTGATGTGCGCTAATGAGGCTGCAGTAATGGGCACTGATAGGCTGCACTGATGGACACTGATAGGTGGCACTGATGGGCACTGATGAGGAGGCACTGGTAGGTTACACTGATGGGCATTGACAGGCATCACTGATGGGCACTGAAAGGCAGCACTGATACATGACACTGATACATGGCACTGATATATGGCACTGATAGGTGGCACTGACTGGCACTGATAGGTGGCACTGATTGGCAGCACTGATTGGCATTGATAGGTGGCACTGACTGGCACTGATGGGTGACATTGAAAGGCAGCTCAGATGGGCACTGCTATGTGGCATTGATGTGCACTGGTATGCACTGATATGTGGCATTGAAGTGGCACTGATGGGCACTGGCACGTAGCACTGATGGGCACTGGCACTGATGAGCCCTGACAGGTGGCACTTCTGGGGCCACACTGATCATCAGGGCACACTGATCATCAGTGCCCTGAGGATCAGTGTACATGTCCCCTCCGCGGAAAGCCGATTACTGGCTCTCATCTCCTCTCGAGCTGTCAGCTTGACAGCTCGAGAGGAGAGAAATGCCGATAACTGGCATTTCCATGTTTACATGTGATCAGCTGTGATTGGACACAGCTGATCACATGACCGAGCTGACATCTTCGGCTCTTTCCGTGATCCGCTGTGTCCGAACGACACCGCAGACCGGCGATCACCGCGCTGCGCGCTCTCTGAGACGCGCATGCGCAGTGAGAATGGTAGGACATCATATGATGTCCTATCAGAACGAGAGAACCACCTTGCGCCCGTCATTGTACTATAGGGAGGGCAGAAGGTGGTTAAAGTATGTTTTACTACAATACAACAAGGTGCCAGCTCTTCTCACTGTACAGGTCAAGTGTTCCCTCATTCAACGTCTGTCCACTGTTACTGGAATGGGAATTGAGGGAAAAATATCCAGAAAATCAGAAAGCTACAATAAAAAAAAAATCTTTCTTGTAGCGTGAAGAAAAGTTAGGAGCTGACAAACCAGTTTTGCACAATGTGACATAATGGCCCTCTAGACAGAGGGGCACAATTATTTTTAGACATAGGCATACGTAGAAATAGTTTGTATGTTCTTCAATACTTGAGTATCAGTGATTTAAAAAGAACAATCACAGTTTATATGTGGGTAAAGTGTATTGGGGCTTCCTTGGCCTGTTTCATTATAAATTTGTCCTCAACTCATTGTTAAACTTTGGAACCCAGTGATCCATTTAACATACAAAGAATTGACTTGGGGGGGATGTTTGTCCAGCATGCTGTAATCTAGTGGCTACTCTATCTATCCCTTTCTAGCCTCTATGGTTGTCCCTTCTTTTTTGAGAGCTCTCAGCTTTAATTGGTATTTATTCGGTCCAATATGAGGATATGATCATTACATGTATGGTATTTGGTTTGAAGATATCCAATTGATCCTTAACCTCCTTGGCGGTATGATTCTTTCCGATTTTTTGTGCTGAAAGCGGTACCATTTTTTTGCATGGAAATATGTAGTTTTTTTATTGTAGGCTGTAATTTTAATAAATAATCATAAAAAATAATAATATAATAATAATAAATTTAATTCAATAATATAATCAAACCAAAAACACTGAAATTTGAAATACAGAGGCAAATTCGCACATCGCTGAGCAAAGTCGCAAAATCGTTTTCAGTGTCTGATGACGAATTTCCCCACGAATCATTATCACTCAATTCTGCAAGTGGTTCTGATTTACTATCGCTGTTCTAAAACCGCTTTTGACGTAAAGGGACACTTTTTGGACGCCATGGACTTTTCTAAGTTTCCAGGCAGAAAGAACAGTCAAAATGCAGGCAGGGCGCAGGACAAAGCAGTAGGGACAAAATATATGTGAAATGCATTGAAACAGCAATGACAGCAAAAATTACATTTTTTAAAAATTTCAAATTTCCCGCCGGTTCCGGCGCCCGTACGTCCCGACGTCACAGGGACCGGAACACGGAAGCCGGATGCCGGCATCAGCCGGAGGAAATGGCCGGGATGCTGCAGGGGACACATCGCGGGAGCGAAGGACAAGGTAAGTGCTGCAGGGACTCCCTGAGCAACGTCGCATGGTAAGCCCGAGTGTAGCTCGGGGTTACCGCTCTGGAATTGAAATTTTACCCCAAGCTACACTCGGGAATACCGCTAAGGAGGTTAAATGTGACCTTTTGATGTTTTTTTAAAGGGTTTATTTACATGTTTAATGTGTTTTGGCTTTTAAAAAATAAAAAATATTAGTAAATCAATATGTGTTGGTACTAATTATATTTTTTTATTTTTTGAATGATGAAACCATTACTTGGGTTGAGGTGTTGGGCTAAATCCAATTTTTTATGCAATACATATACATATACAATGGTATACATTCTGTAGTATACTTCCCTCCCCTTTTGTTATATAATTCATAGAATTGGTGCCTGGTAGGATCTATACTTTTATTATTCTCTTTGTATCAGTGATGTAACCACTATCAAAGCTGAATTAAAGAAAATGTTTTGTAAAAGTTGATTTCCTTATTCAAAATATGGGGGGGGGGGGGGGGACTTTTGTTTTTACCAAGCAATTCTTTAATTAAAAAACACATCCTTCATGGTCTTTGAACATCTTCTCTGATCTCTCCTGGTTGATAACATTCCAGAGGAGTAAGGCCGAATTAGCCAAAAAATAATTCCATAACGGAGAGTGTAAAGAATTTTCTCAGGTAGGTAATATGATTGGGCCCAATGGAAGGGGAAGTGGGATTTAATATTTCGTAAGGTTTTTAATGTGTAAAGCTTCTGATTTGTGAAGATTAACTTTAAAGCCATGGTCATCGGATGCGTACCGAAAAACACAAGTCATCAGCATATCCTGCTACTCGAAGACACATGCCAGCAATGTTGGGGTTAGCTCTGATATGGTACAATAAGAGTTCTAGAGTAATAATAAAAATGAGCAGAGAAAGGGAGCATCCCTGTATCTTCCTATTAAGCAATTCAAAGTGGTCAAAGTAAACATTGTTTTAATTTTTAAGGATGGATGGAAATATTACAATTTGAACTGATTCACTAATTTCCCACCCACTCCAAGGTATTGCATCACTGTCTTCATGAAGGTCCAATTGACACAATTAAATGCTTTCTCAGCATCTGTCGACAGGAGAGAATAGTGGGCATATTGGGGGTGTGGGTCGTGAGAATAACATTAAGAGCTTTAATTAGTTAGTTAGTTAGTCTGGCTGAAAAAAAGACAAAACTCCATCCAGTTCAACCATTAAAAAAAAAAAGTTACAATCCTATACCTATATAAATGTGGTATCTTTCTCTTCCCTGTTCAGGACAAAACCTCCCTGATCAATATTAATTATCCTTTGGACTGTTCCCCTGCTTAGGAATTTGGAAATAGCAAGCTTAAATTCTTTTTTGGAAATAGGAGCCTTTAGGTCCTTAGGAATAGTGTTGAAAAAGGGATAGATTGTAGATAAGAGCGATATTCTTCTAATGTATCACAGGAAGTAGATATATATACAATTGCACATAAAAGGATGTGACGACATCCATAATCTGTGGTGCTTGGGTGTGGTTCGTACCCCAAATGGTCTATAATCCTAGGTATGTCTGTTGGGCAAAAGCAGAGAAAGATCTGGCGCTCGGCGTATAGATGCTCCACAATTCAGTAGAAGGAGTAGGGGAGGGGGATAGGAGGGTTTTGGGAAATTAGGAAAATGTAAATAGAATAGTTCAACATGAACAAGCAAAAAACCATGATAAGTTCTATAGGCACATAAGTGGTAAATAAATAAAGTCCTTAAAAAGTCTGTGTATAATGGCGTGGTTAGTGGTTAATTGATGCTGTCCTACAGAGCAAGTCCAATTCTGTATGCCTCCTTTTTTCTCTCCTCTATCTCTGTCGGGCAGAATTTGAAGGAAAGTACTTACTGCCCAGTGCACCAAATTGCATAGGAAGAACTAAGTCTAAGTTTTATGTTGATTTTTTTTAAATAAAAGTAACTTGTCATCTGTTCATGTGGCCTACTAAAAGTGCTTAAATACTGCAGAGTCTGTAAAATATTTCTGG